CGCTTTCCCCTTCTTCTCACCTCGCTTGTTTTTCCATCTGCTGCCCTCGCAGCGGCGCATGCAGTAAGTGTGAAGGAGTGAATGTGTGAGGAGCGAACCACACTGGTTTTGTATTCGTGCACAGAGACCACTGGCCTGTTGTCTGAATTGCTGTCTTGTAATGAAGCTAGAGAAGCTGTTTTTATTTATCCCTCTCCCAGCTGTCACTGTTGTGTCTGGAAGTGTGCTGGTTGAACTCGGAGCCATGCACACTTGGAGAACTGTCAAATCCACTAACACTCCCAACTATGCAGAATGTTACAGCCCAGAACACACCCTGGATTCACTTCATGGAAAACAAAAGCTGAGAAGGATATAAAAAAAAATAAAAAAGTACAACCTTTATTTGACTCCATCGAGTCTATGTTGTGTTTTTGTTTTGTTCTCCTTTCCGTCTAAAAATAAAAAAATATTTATATAATATCATTTAATCTTTCTTGGAAAAGATTAGGTCAAACCAGAAAAAAAGAAAAAGAGAATTGCAGCACTTTAAACTGGAATTAGTTTGTTAATACTAGTAAAACTTCCACATGTTCAATTTATTTTCTGTATCCTGAAGCATGTGAGCCATAATAACTTATAATGACATAATAATTTAGAGCACCCAGTAAAATTATTCATAAAAATTGACCTGTTTTTCACATCACAGCCAAGAATATATTGTGGGAATTTAACTAATTACCACATGGAGCCTAGGCGAAAGTTCAACTAAATAAACTGACTACTGCCCTTTATCCGTCTACGACACAGCCAATCAGCTTTGAACCACGCCTCCACAAAAGCTAATCAGCATCCAAAATTCATCTTAAAAGGCCTCTGATCCGCAACCATCTGCTACCTAGTGCCCAGGCGGTGATTGTGCCGTGTGACTTCATTCAGATGACTCCGTTTCAACCCACCTTCAGCCCCTCCTCCACCATCATAGCTTAAGCTTCATCAGAGATTCATTCCTCCCAGACTCTTGCTGCGTTCCTTGTCTCATCTGAACCGGTCCAGCAGAAGTCCGCCATATTGAGCCTGGTTCTGCAAGAGGTTTCTTCCCAATGGGGAGTTTTTCCTCTCCACTGTCGCTTCATGCTTGCTCATCATGGACATCTCAACCTGTGTTATCCAACTGGACTTCCATCTACTAGGTCCCTGAGTGAAGCTCAAGTATCAGCTCACGCAGTCCACTGGATCTCCCCATAAAGCTCAGCAGACCATCTCCCTAACCAGCAGTCTACAGACTGACCAACCTCATTTATCTCCACTCCACCAGTTTCTTTACTCCTGTTCATGCATATCAAACAACATTCGGTGCTATGTTTCCTGCAGAGGCCTGAGTATTTGTATCAATACATGCCTTCTAATTGTCTTTTCTCTCATTGTGAGTTTTCCAGATTAAACTAATTGTAAAATTAAAGCTAAAAAAACAGATGGTTTTTGGTCTTTTTTTTTTTTTCCAAAGACCATCAGTCTGCAGCATGCACTGGACTGTGCTAAGGCCACCTTTTGGCTGATAGACGGCTGCAGGTTTTTTTTTACGCTCCACCTGTTTTGGACATCTAGAAACAGAACGTTTTGTCTGTTTCTCTCAGGGAGGTGTTCGGTTAATTCTGTTATTCTATAAATTCCAGTGTTTGAAAGTAGCAGATTAAACTTACTTGGTTACTCTACTTAAGTACCTTTTTTTGAGTATCTTTATTTTACTTGAGTCATTTTTGGGGGGTATTTATAACTTCCACTCAACTACATTTCTAGGAAGCTGCTAGATACTTCAGCTTTACTTTGTAATCCGTTGTTGTTGTTTTTCTTTCTTGAAACACAATTCCAACATGGCAGAATTCTAAGGGCAGGGATTGCTTTCGAGTCAATGAGTCAATGCAATCAACTGGTTTTCCTTAGATAGAAAAGTTTGAATCAATTTAACTGTACAGGTCCTTCTCAAAATATTAGCATATTGTGATAAAATTCATTATTTTCCATAATTTTTTGAGATGGGAATTTTGGGTTTTCATGAGCTGTATGCCAAAATCATTCATATTAAGACAGTACAAGACCTGAAATATTTCAGTTAGTGTGCAATGAATCAAAAATATTTGAATGTTCAAGTTTTATCATTACATCAATGAACTTTATCACAATATGCTAATATTTTGAGAAGGACCTGTATGATCTGGTGAACTGCAAAGTGCCTTGAGATGACATGGTAAATGGCCTGTACTCGACCAAAGCACTTAAAACTACAGTCAGTCATTCACCTGCACACTGATGGTGGCAAGCTACACTGTAGCCACAGCTGCCCTGGGGCTCACTGACAGAAGCAAGGCTCTGACCACCATCAGTGTGTCTTGCTCAAGGACACAACAACACAGAAAGCCACAGATAGGGCTTGAACCGTCAATCCTTCAATTTCAGGGCAAACTCTTACAAACGACGGCACTGTCACGCGATATGAATTGACGCTATATAAATAAACTGAATTGAATTAAGTTGAATTTGGACACCATTGATATAGAGATTTTCACGACCTTCCACAAATGTTAGAAATTCAGGGCAGATATTATTTGTTGTTTATACAGTTTATAAAGGCATTAATTGTTTCCATGTGATCAAGTTATTCATTAGGATGAGTTCTCAAATCAGGAAGCAGGCGGTCGTGACTCAAATCCCAAACATCATGGATGCCAAAATAACCATACAATCACTATCTTCTGATGAACATTTACAGCACTTGCTTTTTGTTCCATACATTTAATTTGATAGCGGGAATATCACAATATATAGCAATAGTTCAATATCGTGATAGTACCGTATTTTGACCCAAGTATCGTGACACGTGTCGTATTGCAACATCCATGCCAATACTCACCCCTACAGCACACATAGACTTTTGCGTACATCTATTTACTTTTACGTGCTTGTGTCCCCTACATAGCATGCTGGATTTAAATGGATTTGGCTTTTAAAATGAAGAGCATTTATATTGCAGATTTGTTGAGTGCAAAACATCATCCAGTTAAGAGGTTGTACAGGTTGCCTAGTTGACGGTTGTGTCTCATTAGTTTTGCAGTTATACTTTACTCCTTCATTAGTATATTGTTTTATAAGCTAACCCTGCTTTAAACTCCCACACAGTGTGTTCCTTTCCTGTTTTATCACTTCATATAGCAGCTTGTTATCAAATGTTTCCTAACAAACTTCTCCAGCCTTTATCTAGATTTTCACATATACAGATCAGCTGGACCTGTATAATAAATACAAACTATAGAAATAACTGTAGTCCATACAAAGTTAGTATAATACATAGTGGAAAGGAAATATAGTATAAAAATGAGAAATTGAATATGAATGTTGTACAAAAAACTGAATATCTTCAGTCAAAGTCTTCTCTTGAACCGCTGCGAGACAAAACACTACAGGTGATCCTTCCTTCCTACAGCTATAAACATCCATCCATTTTCTGTCATGCTTATCTCAAGTGGGGTTGCGAGGGGTGCTGGTGCCTATCTCTAGCTGTCTATGGGCGAGAGGCGGGGTACACCCTGGACAGGCTGCCAGTCCGTCGCAGGGCAACACAGAGACAAACAACCACTCACTCACACCTAAGGAGAATTTAGAGAAG